TTGTGTTTAGCTTTTGTATTAACTTAGCAGTTTGACTAAGTTGTATCTAGGTGTATCTCTTTGTGTTTATTTTATTTTATTTTTTTAATTTTATTTATTTATTTTCCCCCAAAGCCCCAGTAGATAGTTGTATGTCATAGATGCACATCCTTCTAGTTGCTGTACATGGGATGTGGCCTCAGCATGGCCGGAGAAGCAGTGCGTTGGTGCATGCCTGGGATCCGAACTCGGGTCGCCAGCAGCAGAGCGTATGCACTTAACTGCTAAGCCACAGGGCCGGCCCCTCTGTGTTTATTTTACTTTGGGTTGAACTTCTTTGAGTATAGATTGTTTTCATCAAATTTGAGAAGATTTTACCGGTTATTTTTTGAAATATTTTTGGTTGAAAACTAGACATTTTAGTTAATAGATTATAGCAATTCTGGATTCTGTTTTATTTGTTTGTTTATTGAGGGTTGTTTATTTTCTAGTAACTTGCCTGGACTTTAATTGTCTAGTCTAGTCTCTCTTGTGGTATATAGCAGCTGACAGCTCTGCTGTTTCTAAATTCTTATTGTTTAGACTGGCTTCCTTAAAGATCTTCCCTGTATCTGCATAACATAATTGTTAGCTATTGATTTGGGGAGAGGAGGTAAATACCTTGAGCCTGAAAGGCTTCCACCCTTTGCTGATTGGTCTGTGTGTGGGTTTGAGAACACATTCAAAGTTGGAGCTAGTTGTCAAGCCTCCCTCGGCTTCATTTTGTGCCATGCTCCCTCAGGTCTCCTCCAGAAATGCATAGCTTTCTGTTTAGCCAGGGTTGTATGGTGAGCTTATCACAGACTTTCTATGGCTTTGTCATTTATATGATCTTTCTGTTAATTTTCTGACTAGTTGGGCACTTACCCTAACCAGGACCTCAACCTCAGACCTCAACTGCAGATTTTCTCTCTTCATTCCCAACCAAGTTTACCACTTTTATCCGCCGAAGCCACATGTTTTTGCTGCCCTACCCTGAAATGAATCCACTTTTTTTTGCCAGCAAAGCTGCTGGGTTCTTTTTGCTAGCTTCATGTTGGTAAAAATGCCAGTGTTGTCATTCTAGCTGGAAGTGGGTGGTTGGGAGTAACCTCAGGCAGAAGGGCAGAGCCTCCCACTGTTCTGTAACTTGAGCAGTTTTTCTGGAATAAACAGTTCTCAATTTGCAGGCTGCCTTGGGTTAATTTCCACTGCCCTGAAACAGTTATTTTTGATAAATTTGTCTAGTTTTATATTTGGTATTTGTGGATGACAATTGCCAACCTCTTCATGCCTCCATAAAACCTGCACATTTTCTTTTGTAGATGAATTTTACGTTTACTTATCAAGCTCCCTAAGAAGTTCTCTTGGTATTTTGATTAGATTTACATTGACTTTATAAATTAATTTGCAGAATATTGACATATTTACAATATTGAGATTTTCTTCTAGAAAGATGACATTTATCTCCGTTTATTCAGACTTACTTTATATCTTAGCAAAATTATTTAGCATACGTATAGGACTTGCTCATATTTTGTAAAACTTACTCTTAGCATTTAAAAAATTTTTATGGCAATTACTAATGAAATGATATTTTCCATTGTATTTCCTAATCATTTATTGCCAGTTCATAGGAAAGTTTTTTTATGAGTTTATATAAGTTGATCTTATATGTGACTGCCTTGCTGAACTTACTTTTTCATTCTTTTTTTTTTTTAAGTGCAAACGCCAATTCTTTTTTTTTTTTTTTTTGTGAGGAAGATCAGCCCTGAGCTAACATCCGTGCTAATCCTCCTCTTTTTTTGGTGAGGAAGACTGGCTCTGAGCTAACATCTATTGCCAATCCTCGTCCTTTTTCTTTTCTTTTTTTTTTTCCTCCCCCAAAGCCCCAGTAGATAGTTGTATGTCATAGTTGCACATCCTTCTAGTTGCTGTATGTGGGATGCGGCCCCAGCATGGCTGGAGAAGCGGTGTGTCGGTGCGCACCTGGGATCTGAACCCTGGGCCGCCAGTATCGGAGTGTGCACTTAACCGCTAAGCCACAGGGCCGGCCCCCTACTTTTTCATTCTAATAGTTTGTCAGTTTATTATTTTGGTTCTTTTGGGTAGTCTACCATATTATTTGCAAATAATAACAGTTTTGTCCCCTGATAATCTATGTTTATTTTTATTTTTAACATTTAAAATTTCTTTATTTTTAAAATTCAATTTTATAGGTTATGCCCTCTAGGAAAATAGTAAAACAGTAGGCATACTCGCCTTAGTGACTTTGCTAGAAATATTTCTGATGCTTCACCTTGAAGTATGATATTGAATAGGTCCTTTTATCAAGCTAAAATTTTTCTTTTATTCCTAGTATCAACTGGTATTTTGGCACGTACTGAGATTATATTGTTTTTCTCTTTTGGTTTCCTAATATCATAAATAAGAAACACTCTATTTGATCAAGATGTATTATAATTTTAATATTTTCCTTGCTTTAGTTTGCTAATTAATTTTATTTATGATTTTTGCATGTAATTCGTAAGTGAGATTGGCTTATAAAGAACAATAACTTGATAAACTAGACATTCATTCCGGATTAAAGGAAATATAGATTTCCTCTTCTTCAGGAATTTGGTTCAGGAGCTGCTCTGTATCTCTCATTACTTACATTGCCGTGTGTGTTAAACTAATATCCCCTCCCACATGGCATCCGTTTTTGAGCAGTACAGAGCAGTTAAAATCCAGTTCCTTCATGTGCGATGAATATTTTTGTAACCTCTGAGTTATTCTGTTACTACACAGCACCTCCTTTAAGTAGTATGTTCCCCATGTTACTTTTTTTGTTTGTTTTTAATAAAAGCCTTTCAAGGATTATTTAACATTTGTCTGTCTCTATTTCTCTTTGCTATATGTAGTCTCTTTTCAGTATTACCGTCTTCATGTTTTTCTCTTCGTTGTAGTTCCTTCTGTCATCTGCTCTGTGAAGCCTTTCTTAGTCCTTCCTCTTCCTCATTACTCTGAAGTGTTAGACTATTTTTGTGTCTCTAATATAGCTTATTATAAATTAAAAAAATATATATATTTATATAGTTCTCTTAACTACATCTTGGCTATAATATCAGAACTTTCCTGTTACTTTTGGTTATAAGAACAGTCTCATTTTTGGTAATTAAGACTTAGTCTTATGCATTTTTAAAACTTGTCAAAATTCACTCCACTTGCAGGGATTATGAGGGGTGAGGGTGTTCTGACCCTTCATGTACTTTTCCCTTCTTCCATTTGTTGGGGCAGAGAGGAAGGAGAGGAAAAAAGGAAAACATATTATTAAACTGGGTGACGTTGTCATCTTCTCCTTTTAGGTTGTGGCTGCCTCTGCTAACGCTGAGTGTTCATCATGCCCTGTTGTCAGGCATTTAAATGGTGGTTCATTGCCATGTGCAGATTCTTCCTGTGCCAACATGTTGGCGGCTCACTGGCAGCTCTCTGAACTTAGAACACATAGTAATTAGCGTCTTTTGTGCCTAGTTTAGGCCTTAGGTGCAATTCTGGGACTACGGAAACCTGCTGCTCAATAATCTGTGAAATTTATTTTAAAGTCAGTGTTTCACAGTTCAAAAGGAAGATAAACAGTCTTCCAGAAGAGGGTATTAAGTCATGCAGATGTTATAGAGCATGTCTGCAGTGCACAGTTTTCATACCTATAATGTTAATTCTATATCCTAAAATAATTTAGCCTCTAGGAAACTTTGTCCCAGCTTGTCCTTCTAGAGCTGTGCCAGATGTACTATTTAAATGTAAATTAAATTAAATTTACATTAATGAAACAAATAAAAATAAAAATTCAGTTCCTCAGTCACACTAGCCACATTTTAAGTGCTTAATTAGTCACATGTGGCTAGTGGCTACCGTATTGGATACCACAGAACTTGACCATCATCAAAAAAAGTTCATTTAGACACTCCTTCTCTAGAGGATAGAGATGAGAAATTTTTGTTACCATAGGAAAGTCAGATGCGTAGAGTCAATCTTATATACCTAGTTACTCTGTTGCACAGGGTTTTTTTTCTTGCCCATATGAGGGAAGTTTGTGAAAGGGAGAAAAGTTGGCACACTCCTGAGCAATATACTGCTTTCAACTTCATCTGACATTTAGCTTTTCATGTGGAAATTTCAAATAACTGTTATTGCAGACATAGTTGGCAGCAGGATTCAAAGGTCAAATGTTTCCACCCACCAGAGACAAACTCCCTAGTTCATTCTTCCTGTTTCCTGTCTTACTGTTCCCTCATTCCTCAGGTGAAGGTTGGCACAACTTCAGTCCTAGGGCAAGGTAAGACTGGCATAAGTAGAACGGAATGTTTGTATATATGTGTTTTTGTGTGTGTGTATAGATTTTGGGAGAAGTGACTTAGAATAATAAATTCTAATTATTATTTTTTTTTTTACCAAGCCCTTAGATATCTAATTGAATGCCTGCCCACATTTTAAGTATGAGTAAACTGAGGCTAGAGAAAGTGATTGCCCAAGATTGTATCAATAGTTAATGGTAGGGCCGGCCGGGTTAAGCGTGTGAGCTCCACTGGAGCGGCCCGGGGTTTGCTGGTTCGGATCCTGGGCACGCACAAGCGCACTGCTTGGCAAGCCATGCTGTGGTGGCATCCCATATAAAGTGGAGCAAGATGGGCACGCATGTTAGCCCAGGGCCAGTCTTCCTCAGCAAAAAAAGAGGAGGATTGGCAGATGTTAGCTCAGGGCCGATCTTCCTCACAAAAAAAAAAAAAGTTAATGGTAAATCTGGAACTAAAACCTGTGTGCCATGACACCCAAATTGTTGGACATTCTGCTAAATCATTTACCATTCCCATTTTAATTCTTTTATTCACTAGTAACTATTGCTGCAGATACAGTGACAAGAGTTTAGAGGCAAAAGTAATTAATTATTATAATGAATTTCTTATTTTAAAAATGTTGCTTTATACATGTTTTAAAAGATTTGGTAATTGTAATTTTTACAGATTGAAGAAGAAGAGAGGAAAAAAATAGAAGACATGAAAGAAAATGAACGGATAAAAGCAACTAAAGAATTGGAAGCCTGGAAAGAACATCAGAGAAAAGCTGAAGAACAAAAAAGAATTCAGAGAGAAGAGAAATTACATCAGCAAGAAAAACAAATTGAAGAAGAGAGAAAAAAATTAAAACATAAAAGTCTTACTAGAAATTCAGCTTCTAGAAATCTTGCTACAAAAGGTACAATGATTGCTTTAATATTTTCTGGCAAAGTGAGTCCTGTTGGTGAAGTACATATGCCATTATTTGTGTGTGTGTGTGAAGTGTGTATCTGTTTACAATATTAGGTCATTATTTTGGTATATCAAGAATAAGTACTACAATACAAAGACTAAGGTGAAAGACTTATTTCTTCTTCTAGGAAGTAGTGAAGTTTTCATAATAAAATGAACAAGGATTCAGTGTTGTTTTGCTTGTGTGCTTCCTTTTGAAATTTATGTAGGTGTCATTAAATATGTGTTTAACTCAGGTCCAAAAAGACTTGGAGTGGACTGGCTGTGCCAGGAGCATTCATTTATTTCTTTAGAGATAAACAACTAGGAATTTCATTAAAAGACTTTCTCCTCACATCACTCAGGAAAATGGCTACTACTAAGCAAACTTAGTCTTAAGCAAAGAAAGGCTCTTCTGGACTTTGATCCTGATGTGTTCTAAAATGGTAAAAGAATATATTTCTTTATTGAAAGCTGAGTTTGGTTTTATCTGATTTTAGAATATTAATCTTTGTTTTGGGTATATTTAGTATAGTTAGTAAATGGAACATTTTGTAGTAAAATCACTTATGTAATAATAATAATTAACAGTTATTGGGCGATCACTACATGCCAGGTGATTTTATTGGTTCTATCACTCAATCCTTCAAACAACAGTTTGGGATAAGTGCTGCTAGTCTTATTTTAGAGGAAATACATGTTCAGAAATGATAAACAACTACCCAGTAAGTAAATCTGTGGGATTTGAACCCAGATCTGTCTGCATCTGAAACCTGTGTTCTTTCCACTAGGCTATGTGTCTTTACTTCTTTAATAATGAGGTCTGGCATGTTGAAAAGTCATTTAGAGTGAATATTAATAAGCAGTAATCATTATTTATATATTTTATTGTGGTTTAATATTGACATGTGGGGCCAGCCTGTTTGGCGTAGCGGTTAAGTGCATGTGCTCCGCTTTGGCGGCCCTGGGTTCGCAGGGTCGGATCCCGGGCTCGCACTGACTCACCACTTCGCAAGCCATGCTCTGGTGGTGTCCCATATAAAGTAGAGGAAGATAGGCATGGATGTTAGCCCAGGGCCAATCTTCCTCAGCAAAAAAAGAGGAGGATTGGTGGATGTTAGCTCAGGGCTGATCTTCCTCACACACACACACACACAATAATAATAATAATAAAATAAAATCCTTAAAAAAAAAAATCTAGTACCCTTTAAAAAAAAATTGACATGCAAGTTAACTACCATACTACCTCCTCCTTTAATGATATTTCAGTAAAATATTTATACCAGCTAGGGTATGTGAAAATATTTCCTTCCAGATTTCAAATACTACAAAACAAATTGGATGTTTTCAAATACTATTGGAACCCAAACACACTTTTGTAGATAAGAAGTATCCTGAAGATGTTAAAACAAAAATAATTCATCCATGGATATAAGGGAAATTAAACCTGGTGGTGGGAAAAAATGTGTAAATTAGGTTTTTTGGATTTTTACTTCAGAAGTCCTTTTTTTCTTATTTCATTAGTGTCATTACAGATGCCTTAGAAGTTTGGTTCCTTTCTTTCATTTCATCTATCCATTTAGTGTTTACTCAGCGTCTACTCTGTACTAGGAGTTATGGAATATACAAATATGACTTAAGATGTGGCCAGGGCCTTCAAGAAACTTAAAATGTTGTAGATGCAAATATCTTCAGTTAGCTGAGATTTGTAAATAACTGCTTTAAAAAATTCACAGTTGTTTTGTGGGTAAATAAAGTTAGACCTCTTGAAGAGGAAAACTTGGCTGGTCCTACAAAATCATTTATTCTAATACTACTATTTTAATGTCACTATTAACTGAAAATGCTCATTTGATAACCTTTTTAACAATAGAAAGAATGTTGTATTATTTACCCCAGAAACATTCTTTAGACAAGCCACTTTTATATACAGAATACAAATGGTGTGGCAGGATGTGCAGATTGCGTACTCATTATATATTCTCCTCTTCTTTTTTACTGGCAGAATCATGAATTCAGGGTTGGGGGACAGAAGTGCGTCCAGCTAAAAAACTTGGAAATTTGAGTATTGATTGGATATTTGAAGAAATTAAGGAATAATTACATTTTTTTCTCTAGATGTGATAATGGTATTGTAGTTAGGTTTAAAAATTCCTCATCTTGTAGAGATGCCTACTGAAATATTTATGGATGAAAAATTATGGTGTCTGAGATTTGGTTCACAATAATATAGAATGTGAAAGTGGATAGAGGTAAAAGATGAAATGGTATTGGCCATGAGTTGATAGTTGAAGTCAGGTTGTGAATGCATGATGGTTAATTATTCTATTCTTTCTACTTTTGTATATGTTTGAAATTTTTTATTATGAAATGATAAAAAATAAGGTAAGGATCAAAGCCTATCGAATCATTTTTACAAACAAAGTAATTTTAAATTACAAAAAAAAGAAAACAAAACTCACTGAGACTCTCTTATAACTAGATGTAGCCAAGTGACACACTTTGGGCTGATGAAATGCAAGAAGAAATCTGCTAAGGTTTTATAGAAAAGTATTACTTTTCTGAGATGTGTCCCCAACTCTTTTCTGCTTGCATCTCCTTTCCTTTTCCTACCTGAGATAAAGATCTATGCCAGGAAGTGCATTAGCTATCTTGAGATCATGAAGAGGTAAGTCATACGCTAAGAATGATAGGACAGGGAAGAAGAAGGAGCTTGGGACAGTAATTACATTGGAAAGCTGATAAATCTATGCTGGACTACCTTCCTTCAAGCTTGTTAAGTGAGAAAAATAAACCCGTGTTTGGTTAAACCACTGTAGTCATGTTTTCTGTTTATGCAGTCTAGAGAATTTGTAACTGATAGAAATGGGTAATGGACTGCAAGGTTGGTATAGCATTTGAAAATCATTCAATGTAATTAACCATATTAACAGAATAAAGGAAAAAACATGATGATTTCAATATTGCAGAAAGGTATTTGACACAATCCAACACCCATTTATGATAAAAATTTCTCAGCAAATTAGGAATAGAAAGAAATGTTCCCAATCTTGTAGAAGGACCTTCTACAAAAAAATCTATAGCAAACATCATATTTGCTGGTGAATTAATGAATACTTTGCCCCTTAGGTCCAAGAGCAAGGCTCTCGTGTCCACTTTCACTACTTCTATTCAGCATTATACTGGAGGTCCTAACTGTTGCATTAAGACAAGAAGAAGAAATAAAAGGCATAAAGATTAGATAGGAAGAAGTTAAAATCTCTATTTGTAGATGACATTATTTTCTATGTAGAAATTCCTAAGGAATCTATAGAATAACTATTAGAGCTAATAAGTGGATTTAGCAAAGTCTCAGGATAAAAGCTTGCAAGTGTCATTTATAATTTTCTTTACCAACAGCAAACAATTGGAAAATTAAATTTTAATCCATTTATAATAGGACTAAAACAAATATTTAGGAATAAATTTAACAAAAGAAGTGCAAGATCTCATCACTGAAAACTATAGAACAATTACTGAGAGATACTTAAAAAGGCCTAAATGGAGAGATTATAACATGTTCATGAATTGGAAAACTCAGTGTTGTTAAGATGTCAATTCTCCTTAAATTGATCTATAGATTCAATGCAATTCCAGTAGAAATCGCAGTGAGCTTTTTGTAGAAATTGACGTACTCATTCTAAAATTTATAAGAGAATGCAAATAACCTAGAAAAGCCAAAGAAATTTTTAAAAATAAGACAAAGATGCAGGACTTATGCTACCTTATACTACCTGATTTGAAGACTTAGCATCAAGCTACAGTAATCAAGACAGGGTGGAATTGGCGAAAGGATGAACGTATAGTTCAAAAGAACAGAGTACAGACACTAGAAACAGATCCACACATGTATGGTCCAATGATTTTCGTCAAGGATAACTGCAATTCGATGAGGAAAGGAAAGTCTGGAACAGTTGGATATCTTTGTGGAAACGAATGTTGATTTTTGCCTCACTGTGTACATATTACATACAGTTGTCCCTGGGTATCTGCAGGGTATTGGTTCCAGGACCCCCTGTGGACACCAAAATCTGTGGATGCGTAAGTCCCTTATATAAAATGGCACAGTATTTGCATATAACCTACACAATCCTCCCGTATACTGTAAATTATCTCTAGATTACTTATAATACCAATACAATGCAAATGCTATGTAAATAGTTGTTGTATTGTTTAGGGAATAATGACAAGAAAAAAAAAGTCTGTACTTGGTCAGTACAGTTGCAATCATCATAGGCCTTTTGATCTGTGGTTCGTTGAAATCTGCTGATGCTGGACCTGCCGATATGAATGGCTGGCTATACCTAAGAAGACAAACAACCCAGTAAACAATTAGACAAAAGATTTGAATGGACTTTTCACAAAAGAAGACATATGACTGGCCAATATGCACATGAAATGATGTTCAATGTCATTAGTCTGAGAGGAAATGCAAATTAAAACTACAGTGAGATACAGTACACAGTACACATACACTAAAATGGCTAATATTAAAAATTAAAGAGTCCATCAACACAAAGTGTTGTTGAGAATGTGCTGCAACTGGAACTCTCGTATAGTGATGGTAGGAATGTAAAATGATACGTATAGTGATGGTAGGAATGTAAAATGATACAACCACTGTGGAAGAGTGTTTGGCAGTCTCCTTAAAAGTTCAGTACACACCTATCATATAATTCAGCCATTCTAGTTTTAGGTATTTACACAAGAGAAACATGTCCACCTTAAAACTTGTATTCAAATGTTTATAGCAGCTTTATTCACAATAGTGAATAACTGGAAACAGTGCCCATCAACAGGTGAATGGATAAGCAAATTCTCATATATTCCTAAAATGGAATATTACTCTGCAATAAAAAGGAGAGAACTACTGATCACACAACATGAATGAGTCACAAAATGACTATGCTGAATGAAAAAAGCCAGACACCAAAACAGTCCACAATGCATGAAATTCTAGAAAATATTAACTAGTTTATAAGGCCTGGGAGCACATCAGTGGTTGCCTGGAACCAGGGGGAAAGGGAAGGGATGAACTTCAAGGGGCTATAGGGGATCTTAGAAGTGATAGAAATTTTCTGTCTTGACTGATTTCATGGGTGGTTCATCTATCAGAACTCATTGAATTAATACACTTTAAAATTAATACACTTTAAAATGTTTTCTTAATTACAGCCTTTTCTTTCTACTGATTTGAAAGGTACACATTCTCTTTTTGTTCTTTGAATGATCAATATTAAATTTTTTGTAACTATTTTGATATATAGATATAATTCCAATTATTATATTTTTAACATGCATACTAAACAAACTTTAAAGTTAATCTCTACCATACTTGTAAATATTACAAGGAAATTTAATACAGGAACTCCAGTCATACTCACTTTCAATGGTATTATCTAAACATTTTATTCCACTTTTTTTGGAGGAGTCAGTTGACTTCACCTTATTTTTAAACCCCCTAAATTTAGTCATTGTTAGTATGGGTTTTTTCCTGCTATATAGTTATTAGTATTTCAGTTGACCCATATTTACTGATTTTTTTATTTATCTTTATTTCTTCTTGCTTCTTGCCTCTTGTGTGTCTTTCTGGGTCCAATTGCCTTCCCTTTAAGTAAATTCTTTAGTAGTTCTTTAATGAAGATCTGTGAGTGTTACATTCAGTTATTTTTATTTCACACTTGTTATTGAAGGATGGGTTTAGCTGGTTGTATAATTCAAGGTTGACAGTTATTTCCATCAGTAATTTGAAGATATATTTCTGTTGCCTTCTGCCCTCTGATATTGCTGCTGAGAATTATACTCTTCTAACTATTGATCCTTTATAAGGTAATCTATCCTTTGTCTCTGGTAGCTTTAATATTCTTCACTTTTGTGTACTTTGATTTTATTAGTTTAAGTGCAGTTTTATATTTATTTGTCTTGTAATATCTGAACTTGGAATATATGTTCAATGAAAGAACTTATGTTTTCCATCAGTTCTGGGAAGTTCTAAGCTTTTGTCTTCAAATATTACCTTCCTCTATTCTCTTTATCTTTCTTGGCTGCATCCTGTATGATATCCTCAGATTTGCAAATTCTAGTTTGCAAATTTTTTTCAACTATGCTTAATGTGTTGTTAAACTTGTCCTAGAGGTTTTAAATTTCAGTGACAATATTTTTCATTTTGGAAGTGCTATTTGTTTTTTTCCACACCCGTTTGTTGTTTTGTCATTAGCTTCTTAGTTTTTCATGATGAATTTTAGCCTGTCTTTGCTCTTTAAGGAAGCATGTTTAAAATTATTATAGTTGCTTTCAAATTGTTCTGTTTCAAATTCTTAGGAGACCAGTCCTCCTGTTTCTTGTGTCTGCTGACTGTTCTTCCTACTGGATTGTTTCCTCATGTGACTTGTACTTTTTGTTTGTGTGCTCATCTTCAGCAAGGATTTTTTTATGTGTACATATGAGGAAATCTCATGCGTTCTGGTTTATAGAAGTAAGAATTGCTCCCAAGGGATACTTGAATTTTTGGTTTCTCACAAGAGACATTTTTCTCTTCCCATCCAGAGCCCCAGAAAGAGACAGGCTTCACTTTCCTGGACTATTGGACAGAGGTTTTATAAATGTCCTTTTCACTGAGAGTGCAGCCCTTCTAAGGTTCTAGTTGGATTTCCAACTCCCCACCTTTGTACCTCTATCAGCATTAAATTTCCAGCCTTTGGCCCTTATATATAGCCTCTAGCCTATTCAGATTCAGATGTTTGTCAGCCTTTGGGATTACCCTGGCTGTAAATCGCTGATAAGGCTTTTTCTTTGCTTACTTTAGAACTAAATTACATACTTGAATCTTTTGTTTATTATATTTTTATCAAGCATTTTATGTGTTCATGGCATTTTATCTGTTTGTAAAGTTATTTGTTACAGTTTGTAAAAACTTTAACCTATGCCGCTAGAAGCAGAAAGCTAATTTCTTTTTATGTTTTATTTGTCTTAATTTACTATAAGAGTTTGAAAACTAGATATCCTATTTTTAATGTAACTATTGGTCACTTTAATGTTTTTTCATAAGCATTTAAAAATATTTATTTACTTTTCTTTAGCAAAATAACTTTTTTATTTTTCATTATAGAAAAGTCATGCTTATTCCCTCCATGTTCTGTATCCTAATAATCATTAGTATAATAATTTGAAGTTATATACTTCATTTTTACTATTTATTCTATTTTCCTTCTGTTGTACTAACATTTAAAAATCTTTTTTTTTTTTTTTTTTAATTTTATTTATTTATTTTTCCCCCAAAGCCCCAGTAGATAGTTGTATGTCACAGCTGCACATCCTTCTAGTTGCTGCATGTGGGACGCGGCCTCAGCATGGCCGGAGAAGCGGTGCCTCGGTGCACGCCCAGGATCCGAACCCGGGCCGCCAGCAGCGGAGCGCGAGCACTTAACCGCTAAGCCGTGGGGCCGGCCCTAAAAATCTTATTCACGACATTTTTTTAGTATGTTCTGCACTGTTTTAGAAAACCCATCCTTTTTCATTTTTACCCTCAACTTTCCCACTCCTGCATTCTTAATTTTATTTTTCCATATTCTGTAACATTTTTTTGAGTAATTTATTCAGACAAGATGGCTAGGTGGTGTATTTACTTAGTTCTTACATATCTAGGAATGTCTTTTGCCTTCACAAGTGAGCAACAGTTTATGTGGATATAAAATTCTTGGGATGTTGTATTAGGTGGGTTCAAGCTGTTATAATAAAGAGATCCAAAGTTATAGATCAAATAAGATGGAAATTTAGTTCTCTGTAATTAACACTTGTTATGTAACAGTCATCAATCTAGGCCTAATAGATGACTTTGTTCCACAAGGCCATCCAGGCTAGTGGGGCCACCTCTGTCATCACGTCATTTGGCTTCTATCTTTGGATCTAAGGTGGATGCTACAGTTGGTATTTTTAGCCAGTGGGAAGGGGAAAAGAGGAAGTCTGCAGCAAGTAGATTTATCTGTAAGATGATGATCTGTATGTTGTATATATCACTTTTATTCACTTTCTGGTATCTCAGCTTTGGCACATAACCACACCTAATCTTAAGGGAGGCTAGGTTATGTAGATTCTAGGCTGGTACAGTTATATGCCTAGTTTAGACCTCAAATTCTATTACTAAAAAAAAGAGGGGAGAATGGATAGAATAGCAATCTCAACCACAAGGATCTGTAGAAAATTTTTACTCAAATTTTTGTTAGTATTGCTTTCTTGTTTGTTTAAGGCCTTGTTCTTTCCTCTCTGCCCCCGTCCTCCCTCCCTTTGAAACATCAATTCAGGCAATTTTCAAATTTTTTAAATTGAAAGTTTTTTTCTTATCTTATTTATATGTGTTCATTTTATATCAAGGATGTTAACTCTGTCATATTTGTGGAAAATCTTTTTTTATACCAATTTTAAATTTTTTTTTTTCTTTTTTTATTTCCCCCAAAGCCCCAGTAGATAGTTGTATGTCATAGTTGCACAGCCTTCTAGTTGCTATATGTGGGACACGGCCTCAGCATGGCCAGAGAAGTGGTGCGTCGGTGCACGCCCGGGATCCGAACCCGGGCCGCCAGCAGCGGAGCGTACGCACTTAACCGCTAAGCCACGGGGCCGGCCCTATACCAATTTTAATATTTACCTTTTAAATCTGTGTATCGTATTTTTGGTATCTTTCTTTCCATTTATTCATATAGTTTATATTCTAACACCTAGATTAGTTTCTCCTCTTATATTGGCTTAACAATGATGACATCTAACTGCCTTTATAAAAATGTATAGCTATTCATTATTACTCTTTGCCTGTTCTCATTAGCTCTCTCCGATGGCTGAAAAACTTTTATACCATCACAAAAAGTTATCGCTATAGGAGCTTAAAGAAATAGAGGTGATGTTGGCAGTGATGGCTTTGCCCAGGTACCCTCCTCTAGAGTTGACGTAGAGTTGCCTAGAGTGCCCTTCCCTAGAGTGAATGTAAATTAGACCCTGTGTGGTTTAACAAAGAGAATCCCAGAAAAGTAGCTGAGGTCATTGTTTAAAGAACAAATAATTAGCTGCCATACTTTCAATGATGGATTTTACATTCCTTCTTGCAGAAAGTATCTTTGGTTTATTTGTATAGGATTTTAGAAGTAGCTTTGATGTGTAATTGCTTTAAAAATCGTTCTGATTATTAACTAGAAAATGAGACATAAATAACTTACTTGCTAATGTTGTTTTTAAAGGGAGAAGTTTGGAAAATATATTTTTTGACAAGTTAAAGGAAGACAGTATTCCTGTTCCTCGCTCTGTTGGCAGTATTAAAGTCAACTTCACCCCTCGAGTATTCCCAACTGCTCTCCGGGAATCACAAGTAGCAGAAGAAGAGGAGGTAGGTGTACTTGCTGTTAGATACAATGACCACAAAGGAAAATACTTCATTTTTTATTTCATCTATTGAAACTAGTACTGGGTCTGAATTTCTTAAGTATTCATTAGAGATATTACTAGAGATATTACTAGATATTACTCCATGGATATATTTTAGTATTTCCTTATGAGGAAAATATATTTTGCAGGATTTTTTTTTGGTTCCAGAATGCTGAGAGAGCACTGATTTAATATACAGTATTGTTGCTTATTCCTGGAAATAAACTGTTGCGCTTGCCATTTATTTTATCAAATACATCATTTTCTGTAATAGATTTGTAAAATTTGGATCAGTATGTGTTGTGGTAAGAAGAGATTTGGAAATTTATTATTAATATATTATTATAATTAATTATTATTAATATCAAGTGTTTCTAATGTGACATTTTGGAATTAATATCTTTCATTCATTTATAAATTCCTGAACTCTGGAATTTCAAATATTGTATCTTTAGTTATATAAGCACTAAGAATTGCATTTTTTTACTGTAAGGTATGAACTGATACCACTCTCAATTGAAAAGTTGTGGAAATAATTGAAGATCCTTAAGACATAAGGACATTTATAAATATTAACTTTTTTCTTATTATTAAACAATATATTATATCTTTCTTTTCTTTGTTTTTTTTGCTGAGGAAATTCGCCCTGAGCTAACATCTGTTGCCAATCTTCCTTTTTTTGCCGAGGAAGATTTGCCCTGAGCTAACAATAACTGTTGCCAATCTTCCTCTTTTTGTATGTGAGCCACCACCACAACGTGGCCACCGACAGACGAGTGGTGTAGGTCCGAGCCTGGAACCAAACCCAGGCTGCCAAATTGGAGCACACTGAACTTAACCACTAGGCCATGGGGGCTGGCCCTATTATTTCTATATTTTATTATTTGTAAAAGTATTTTTGTAATTATAAAATTATAATTATTTAAAAATCATTTATATGTTTTTCAATATATAAAAATAAAAATATATTATAAACAAGATAATTAAAATAATACTGACATGAACTCCCAGAAATTTGGATGAAATTTGGACTGGAAATTTTTATACATTTGATCTTAACCAGCTAGTAAAGTTTAAAAAAAACAGTGTAAAAATGTATAAAAACTGGAAGTTTAAAATCACCGTCATCAAATAGTGTATTAGTCTGCTTGGGCTGCTATAACAAAATACCATAGACTGGGTGGTTTAAACAATAGACATTTATTTCTCATTGTTCTGGAGGCTGGGAAGTCCAAGATCAGCGTGCTGGGGTGGAGGGGACGTGGAGGGAAGAGCGTGTGCTCTGGTCTCTTCCTCGTCCTCTAAGGACACTAATCCTATCATCGGGCCACCACCCTCATGACCTCATCTAAACCTAATTACCTCTCAAAGGCCCCACCTCCAAATACCATCACATTATCGCATAGGGCTTCAACATATGAATTTTGGTGGACACAAACATTCGGTCCAGAACAAATAGTATTTCCATCTTACATGGGAAGATGGAAAATCTAAAAGTAACTGTTAATCAAAGTAAGACCTTTGTGTCCTTCAGCAGACTTCATTCTCATTTCAGTGGCTACGAAAACAGGCAGAGGCACGAAGAGCAATGAATACCGATATCCCTGAACTTTCTGATTTAAAAGAAGAAGAAAAGAACCCAGAATGGTTGAAGGACAAAGGAAAGTAAGTTGTTTGAACTCTGGCCCTGAGATTTGTAGTAAGTTTATGTAGACATTAGCACTTATCACATTTGGTAGATATCTTGACATAACGTGTTTGTACGTATGGTTGTTGGGGAAAGATAATGCAAGTAAGCAAATTAGGTAGGTAGGGCTCTCTCTGTATTAAAAAAGTCAGATCTTATAACAATTAAATAAGGCTCTTTTTTAAATTTGTTTTTGTATTTAAGTGTCATAGAAGTGAAAAAATCACGTTTTGAATTGCTTATTAAAATCCATTTTTAAATCACTTACATTTAACATAAGTCCTTCCTAATACCTCCCTTAAAAACTTGTTTCTTAAAAACTAGAGCTTCTTCGATTATTCATATCCATTTTAAAAGATTACCAAATTATTTTATAAGTTATAATTTTATATTTAGGCAATCTTTTTATTTATTTATATATGAATTCTGGTACATTCCGAATGGCAATTTGAGTTATTTTGAGGCAATTGTAGGTATTTATTATATCTCATTATATATACTTTTGTATTATTTTCCTATTGCTGCCATAACAAACTACCACAGACTTAGTGGCTTAAAACAATACGTATTTATTATCTTACAGTTCTGGAGGTCAGAAGTCCAAAATGGGTTTCACTGGGCTGGGATCAAGGTATCAGTTGCAATCCTTCTAGAGGCTATAGGAGAGAATCTATTTCCTTGCATTTTCCAGCTTGGAGGCTGCCTACATCCTGGATTTATTGCTCCCAGCCAGCAATTATATCACTCTGACCTCTGCTTCCATAGTCACATCTCCTTCTCTGACTCTCCTGCCTCCGTCTTTGTTTTATAAGGATCCTTGTGATTACATGAGTCCCACTTGCATAATCCAGAATAACATCCTACCTCCAGATCCTTAATTTAATCACATCTACAAAGTCCTTTCTGCCATGTTAACATATTCACAGGTTATGGGGATTAAGACATCTTTTGGGGGGAAGCATTGTCTGTCTACCACAATGTCTCTATTTTTCTTTCTCATCTTCACTCTGTTCTTTCTTGGTTGTTTCTCCTGTATGTTACAATACCAGAGATTGGTTTGTGGAGTTGAGCTGGAGTTGGCAGTTTTTCTGAAGGTCAGAAGCCTGGGGCCGACAGGTTGGTTCCTCTTACGCCAAACAGTAAAAGCCAACGTGATCCGTCCTCCTGTTTCTCCCCTTCACTCCCTCCTACCCCCCCTCTCCATTTATTGAACCATTAAATAAACATCTATTGATTGCTTGCGGTTTGCCAGACTGTAGGCTAGGCTCTGAGCTACGGAGATGGTGGAAGAGAGAGACATACACAAATACTTATAACGTTGCATGGGAAGTACAATACATAGACAAGAATGAGGTAAAATGAGAGTAGAGAAGAGGGGCACTTAACATTAAAGGGAGGAAGGTAGGCTCAGGAAAATCTTCCTAGACAGTGTAGCACCTGAGCTCCTCTTAATGCTAAGCAGGAGTTTCAAGAGGAAGGGAGAGAAAGGCATTCATTTCAGGCAGAAGAGGCAGTATGAGCAAAAGCTCAGAGACAAGAAATACTGTGATGTCTAGGTCAGGAACTATGGGTAGTTTATTTTTTGCTAAAACGTAAGATTTGAAGCTGGGAGTAATGACACATGAACCTAGAAAAGTAGGCAGGGGCCGCATGAACTTGGTTAAGATTCTTAGATTTTATTCTGTACAGTGAGGGAAAAAATGTGTTGCCAAAACCAAGGCAAAGGTCCTGAACTGTGGCACTGTTGTAGGGGTGGAGGGGAGGGCAATTTGAGAAATATTTAGGAGGTAAAACAGGTAAAAAACTTCGACGGATTGTTGGGGAGTTAGAGAGAAGGAGTAGTTGTGGATGACTTCTGAGTTTCTAGTTTGAATGATTGATCTCATAATGCCACCAACTGAATTAGAGAATACTAAAAGAGGGGCCAGTTAGGAGGGAACGCAGGTAAGTTCAGTTTTGAATATGTTGAGTTTGAGATGTCTCTGGGTCAGTCTGGATGACAGGGTCTAGCAAGTTTGAAACTCAGGGGAGAAGCCAGCACTGTAGATATAGATTTGGAGGTTATCAGCTTTTGTATAGTAGAGTAATTCATAGGAGTAGGTGAGATATCCAAAAAGAGTGTGTAGATCAGGAGAGTAGTGACCTGAGGATAAAACTCTGTCACCTACCAACATTTGAAGGTCTGGGAAAAGAAAGGAGTACACAGAAGTACTCCTGGAAGCCAATGGAATAGAAACTTTAAGGAAAGAGTTTTAGTTTTGTTTTGTTTTTCTTCTTCTTCTTCTTTTTTTTTTTTTTGCTGAGGAAGATTTGCCCTGAGCTAACATCTGTGTCAATCTTCCTCTATTTTGTATGTGGGTTGCCACCACAGCGATGGCCGCTGATGAGTGGTGTAGGTCTGCACCCAGGAACCGAACCGGTCCACCGAAGCAGAGCATGCTGAACTTAACCACTAGGCCACGGGGCCGGCCCTGTTTTGTTCTTCTTTAATAATAGAAAAGGTTTGAATAGATTTGGAGACGAGACAGAAGAGATGGTTGAAGTGTCTCTGAGGAGAGTGGAAAAAATTGGGTCAAGGCCAAGGGTGGATGGATTATCTTGATTTCTTGTTTTTCCTCTTGTTAAAAGTTGCATTCATTTTTTATTTTTATAATAAAAATATTTCTTTGAAAAAAAACTTATACAGTGCATATTAAGTGAAAGTCCCCCTTAGTTTTCAGGCAGTGTACTGGCCTCCTGCCTGCCCTGCCCCCAACTGTATCTTCTCTAAATCCTTTCTTTAATTGCATTTGCTTGTCTTTAAGCTGCCATTGTCATGATCACAGTTAATATGTTCATAGCTTGTGACACTTTACAAGGGCTTTCACCTATACTATCTCATTAAATCCTCACAACTATAGTTGGGTAGGACCCACTGCTTTTGTACTCATTTAACAAATATTTATTGAGAAACTAGCTTTACACAATATAGCTCGTTTAATTCCTGTAACAATCTGACTAGTTAGATATTATTATGTTTATCCCCATTTCACAAATGTGGAAACAGGGCTAGAGAGCTTAAGAAACTTGGCTAAGGTGGTAGTTAATAAGTAGAACTAGGATTCAATCCTTTGTCGATGTGATTTCGAAGCTTGTGTTCCAAACACCGCTGTACCCCTCTCACAGATGAATAAATTCCTCCTCCTGTCCTTTTGTTCCAATTGATTAGCCTTAGTGAAGGCAGCCTAAGTGGTGTGGCTGCGAATTGTTCCTCCTTGCAGCCTGAGAGTATAAAGTGTACATGGCTGAATGGACTGGTCTGTTGGAATGGTTACTTTGCTCTAGAAAATGTTGACAGGTTGACTTGAAATAGATAGAGATACTTTATTTCCTGAGATTGGAGGAAAGAAAGTGAAGACAAGTGTGAATCTAGATAAGTTTCTAACAAGGAAAATTGCTTAGTGGGTACTGTTGAGGGCTCTGCTAGGTTAGAGAACATGAATTCTTAGAGATGCCAGTCAGTACAGCTGTGTGATTTATCTCCTATAGTGTTTAGTCTTTTGGATTTAAGAGTAGATCATTGAGCCAGGGTTGGAGTTTTGACTGACAGTACAGCAAAAGACTAGTAGTGGAAGGCACCAGATTGCTTGTGGAAAAATAGCTCAGATATTTAGCTATGAAGTCTAGGCTGGCTTAGAAAGAAAGAGATGCCGGGAGGGGCCCAGTGGACTAAGAGAAAATGGAGCAATTTAGAAATTAGAGGGCACTGTAAGGTTGAAGATGGAGTATAAAGGGAAAGTTAGCAGAGTAGTGGCTGCCAGTGGTCAGTGGCTGGGATTCCAGAGTTTGATATTTCTCAGGTAGTGCAGTTCAGGTGATGGCAGAGTCCAAGGTGTGTCTCTGGGAGTGGGTAGCAAAAGTAGAGTTGAGGACAAGATCATTTGAATTAAGGAGTTCCAGGTATTTCAAGGCTAAATTGATAAATGGGTCATACATAAACCTTAGAATCTTCTGGAATTATGGCAGAAGTGGGGATGGAGACAGATGCTGGGAGCCAGGTTTCACAACCCTCAATGAATAAAAGAAGAGTGATTTTTAAAAAGCCAGTAGATGACAGTGACTAGAAGACTATAGGATAAGGATGTCAGGAGTCCCAAATGATGACGACGTTTACATAAAGAAAGAATTACAGCTTGGAACTAGCAGAAGAGGGGCTGAAGAATGCCAATTCCTGTGGTCCTAGCCCCCTTTGTGGGGGTACGGGGCCTAAGTAGAGAGAGTGGTAGAGGTAACAGTAGCACTGCCCTCAGGGAAGAGCTTTAGAAAGCATTTTGTGGAAAATTTGAGAGTACAGGAAAGGATTGGGATGGGAGGTGGAGGCAGTTATGGCAGAACCAGGAGTAAGCAAGCGCAAAGGAGTAGAGAGGGGTGAGAGCAGGAAAGGCCAGCAAATTGGGACTTTAACATGAGGACAAGGGAGAAGCATGCTTCTTGATCAGTGCCCAAAGATAACAGGGTTGATGGACATGGTTGGAAAGTCCTTTGGCACAAGGTGTTATGGTGCTGGGACTGGCTAAAGGTCCTAGGCAGTGTTTGGTCTGGTCTTATTTCTGATATGCCAGTGACATGATTAGGATTTAAGAGTGTGGAAAGGGCATTGAGCTAGGGTTGAAATTTTGACTGACAAGTACAGCGGAAGACTAGTGTACTATATATATGTGTGTGTATGTGTGTTTATACACATATAATTGACACATTCCTGTATATTCATTGCTGGTAAAAGCAATGAATTGGCAGCGACCTAGTGCAAAAGTGTACTTTGTGACAGTCAGGCGTGACGGGTAGATTGTAATTACTTTAGTCTCTGTAGTTTTTGTACCATTTTACCTTACTGCCTCCAATTAGGTAGAAAAAGAAAGAGAAGCAAAATAAGAGGAGAGGAAGACAGTTAAAAATGAGGAGAGATGGAAGAACACTTAGTAACTAATGACACTCAGAG